GGGCCGCACTTGAGGACCTAGAGGGCCACCATGTGGCCTCGAGGCTGTAGGTTCTCCACCCCTGGGCCTGGCACAGAGCAGGTGCTTAATAATATATGTTGACTTGGCTTTTATTTGTTGCTGTTTGGTTATATCAGAGGTGTCTGATTCTTTGTGACCCCATTTGGGGTTTTCTTGGCAGAGTTATTGGAGTGGTTTGCCATTTCCTTCTCCAGCTCATTTGACAGATAAGGAACCTGAGGCAAACAGGGTGAAGTGATTTGCCTAGGGTCACACAGTAAGTCTCTGAAGCTGGATTTGAACTCAGGTCTTCCTGATTCCAGGTTGGGTGCTCTATCCACTGCGCCGCCTAGCTGCCCTTGGTTTTTATGCTGAGGTTTACATTTCCTTGCATCCAGGGCCATCTCCAGTCATCCTGATCTATATCTTGCCACTGGATCCAGATGGCTCCAGAGGAGAGAGAGTGAGGCTGGTGACTTTGCACAGCTCTGCCTCACTTAAATCCAATCACGTCCGAGTCAAGGCATCAGCTCCCTGATGTCATGGTCCTCTTGGAGAATGAAAAACAAACAACAGCAACAAATTTCCTAGGACCCAGTCACCCCTCGTTTCTGAGAGAAGACAGACAAGAGTCACCTTCCTCCAGCTCCTGGCTTGTTGCTCCCCTTTAGAAATACCACGCAAGATCATCTGGAGGGGGAGGGAATAATCAATGTACTCAGGCTGCGGATAGACTTACTGGCACCCATGCCTGGCCACAGGTTGATCGATCCGTGAACTCCTGCTGGGGATGATGGATGATGTGTGATCAACATTGCTTTCTCCCTTAGAGGGAACTCACATCTTGTTAATTAGTAATAGCACAAAATTTGCTGATTTATCTACTCATCGAGCTGCCCAGAACAAAAGCAGAAGGAAAAAAAAAGATAGATTTCTTACCAGTTTAATGAATATTGCCTATTTCTGACTCAGATTAATCTGGAATCAGCACTGGGCACTCGGCTCAGGAAGGGGGCTCCCTGGTGACTGATGAGGCAGAGAGGTAGCAAGTGAACTGGACTAGCTGATGCAGCCCTTGTGGATGCATCTTGCCCTAGAGATGCCCAAAAGGAAGTGGACAACAAAGGGAAATGGGGGTGGGGCTGGCGATAATGAGAGATAATGATAATGAGATGAGATAATGAGAGCCATGATGATGATGACGATGATGATGATGATAGCTAGCATGTATTAGTGCTTTAGGAATCTTCTCTCATTTAATCCTCACAACCCCATGAACTATGGGTTCTATTATCATTCCCATTTTACAGATGAGGAAACCAAGCTTGAGAGAGGTAAGATAACTTGCCCAGGGCCACTCAACAAAGGTAATATCTGTGGCAGGACTGGAACTCCAAGTCTGGCACTCTATCCAGGCTGTCTCAGTGTTGGGTCCCATCCTCTGAGATTGCCTTCCATTGACATTGTACAGATCTTGTGTGTACACAGTTATTTACACTTTGTCTCTACCATTAGAATATAAGGTCCTGAGGGCAGCAGCTGTTTTTTCCTTTCTTTCCATCCCTGTTGGTTAGCACAGCCCCCCGGCATAAAGGCGGCACAATGGATAGAGCTCTGGGTCTAGAGTCAGGAAGATCTGAGTTCAAATCCAGCCTCAGATACTTACTAGCTCTTTGATCCTGGGCAAGTCATTTAACCCTGTTTGCCTCAGTTTACCCATCTGTCAAATGAACCGGAGAAGGAAATGGCAAACCACTCTTTGCCAAGAAAACCCCAAATAGAGAGTTGGAAAATAACTGAATAACAACAGTGGCGTAAAAGAAGAGCTTAATAAATGATCATTGACTCACTGACTGACTAACAGTTGATTTCAGGAAGCTTATAGCATCCCTCAGAGTGCAAGACGCTTTGGTCCAAGGGCAGTTATCATCTTAACTATGGCAGAATCTGAGCTCACCTTCTTCCTTTTTCATCTAGTACTAGTGCCCCTGTGGGGGACATAGGTGTGATGGGCGCTAATGATGGACCCCTAAAAGGCCCCGGACTTCCCCACATGGGCCAGTCCCTGTTTGCCTAAGGTACCCATCCCATCCCAATTAATAATCCTTTCAACTGCCCTTTTCCCACCACTTAACTCCTTCCATTGTCTCTACCTGGCCCCACCCCAGGCTACTTGCCACTCCTCAATCCCATCCAGATCTTCCTATAGTCTTTCTATATAAAATATCACTCTTGTCCTCATCAATTGCTTAGATTCTTAACATCTGGCCTGCTTGTATTGGTGTCACAATTGGTGTCACTAGGAATCTTGCCCACCTCAATCAGTGTTTTAATAAACTACCTGGACTAAAAGAAGGTTTGAGTGGTTGAATTCTTTCAAGGCAGACCTGTGCCCTTTGCCCTTGCATTTTGGGATTCCCAACACCCCTAGACAGCAACAGATGGAAAGGTCACAACTTCCCCAGGCCTCAATTTACTCATCTGTAAAAATTAGAAGCTTAGACAAGGTGGCCTTTGACAGCCCTTCTAACTCTAGATTTATGATTCATATGAAATGTCTTTATTCTTAAAATCATAAATTTTCCTGTCATTATTTCCATCATCTTGTAACAATATGAAGCTCAGCACTGACTGGCTGGTCTGTCAGTTTAATATAGTAGGAAACAGGGTTCATAGATTCATAGATTATTAACACTGAAAGGACCCTTGCTGCTGTTCAGTCATTTTTTTCAGTGGTGTTTTACTCTTTGTGGCCCCTTTTGGGGGTTTTTGTGGCAAAGACATGGGAGAGAGAGAGAGAGAGAGAGAGAGAGAGAGAGAGAGGAAGAGAAGGAGGAGGGATGAAAGAGAGAGTGAGAGGAAGAGACAGAGAGAGTGAGAGGAAGAGAGGGAGGAGAGATGAAGAAAAAGACAAAGAGAAAGGGATGAAGGAAGAGAGAGAGAAAGAGAGAGAGAGAGAGAGAAAGAGAGAGAGAGAGAGAGAGAGAGAGAGAGAGAGAGAGAGAGAGAGAGAGAGAAGAGACCTTAGATATCATCTAGTTCTAACCCAACAGATGAGGAAGTTAAATGACTTGTCCACGGTCCCACAGCTAGTAAGTTGCAGGGCTGAAATTGGGACCTAGGCCCTTTGTTTCCAAAACCGTTATTCTACCACGTTGTTGAGATTTAAGAAATAACTGAGACAATGTTGAAAGAATCTGGAATGCACCATGGAATTCACTGTAATAAATGACAATTTTTATCAATGAAATACTTTTTAAAAAAGTATTCCTTTAAAGTTAATTTCAATGATCAAAAATCTACTTTTTTCTCTTCATCTCTTGTCCCTCCATTAAAAAAAAAGAAAAGCAAAATCCTTGTAACAAATATATGTAATCAAGCAAAACAAATTCTGTACTTGGCTATGTCCAAAAAAAAAAAAAGAGTATTTCTCCTTTTGCATGGGGTGATACCACAGAGGGAAGAAATGGAAAGATGTGAGAGATCATGAGGAAGATAACCCTTTCCCCTCTGTGCTGCCCAGGGAATTAGAAAGGAAAATAAATGGACTGTTGTTCCAAGAGGACCAATGACATCAGGAGGGTGATGTCTTGACTTGAAAGTGAATTTGATTTAAGTGGGGCAGGGCTATGCTAACTCATCAGCCTTACTCACTCTCTTCTCCAGAGTCATTGGGAGTCCAGTGGCAAGACATACTTCTGGACATCTGGTGATGGCCCAGGATGCAGTGGGATACCCTGGTTTTTTTAAGCTAAAGTCTTTTCCAGGCAATGCCCATTCCATACTTAAAGGCTAGATAAGAATTGAGGCAAAAGATGGCCTAGTTTGCCCTCACAAAAGAATCAAGCAGGGAGGGGAAGATCCAGAGGTTCTGGTCAGACTGAAACAATTTCTATTTACATTCACTATGAGCCATCAAAACTCAAACAAGTGAGCCTTGGGCTGGGATCTATTATTGTGAGAGACAGAGGGATTTGGGTTTAAAGGCATAGTCAAGTAGTTCCATTTGAATCCCAATGGGCTTTCTCAAAGCCTGTTTTTCCAGAGCTGTATTTCAAAAAATCATAAATGAAAGCTACATGAGACAAAAGAGTTGATTGTTGCAGTTTAAAAAAAAAACCCAAACCCCCAACAACAATAGAATAAATAAGTAGGGGGGGAAATCCAGCCCTCAAACTCCATGATATCTTGTGAAGTATAATTGGTCAAAATTTATATTCCTTTGGACAGAGCACCCACATGTAAGGGTCTGACTCCTCATGTGGGTAGAGGAAGAAGAGGAAGAGGAGGGAGGAGGAGGAGGAGGGAGGAAATAGCAGGATTGCCATAGTTTTCAAAATAAATGAGGAAAGAGGAAGAAAAGGAGAGAGGAGAAATGGCTAAAAAATGCTCATCCTGGATATTTTGGAGCTGCTAAATAGTAGCATATTGATTTAGGAATTATTTATTTTTGAAAGTGGCTGAATATCATTCCAATTGATTGCTATACTCCTTCCTTCTCAAAGAGGACCAATGACATAGGTGAATACCGGATAACTGGAGAGTATTCCCTTCCCAACATCCCTTTCTTGATGCTATGGAATGGTTTGGGGTAGAGTCGGATGTAGGAAGAGGAGGATCAGGACAAGAAATTCATAAAATGAATAGGTTGGACTAGAGTAGAGGTCCTTGACCTGAGGTCTATGAACTTAAAAAAAAAAGTTTTGATAACTATTTCAATATAGTCAGTTTCCTTTGTAATTCTAGGTATTTTGGTTTCTGTATTTAAAATTATTCTTCTGAGAAGGGGTCCATGGGTTCCAGCAGACAGGAGGGGTCTATTGCACACAGAAAAGGTTAAGGAGCCCTGGGCTAGATCATCTCTATGATTCTAGGAGTCTAAGTTTTCTGTTTCACAGAGGTGTGTGCTATGGTTTGGAGATCCAAAGGTAGGGTTAAAGCTCTAGCCTACCAGACGCCTTCTCTGCCCTCTAGCCCCTCCCCACCTCTGATCCACCTACTTGGTCCACATGATACATGACTCCCGGCTTTCCTCGGACCAGATACGGGCTGTCCAGTCACCGACAGTCAGGAAATTCTTGGGGTAGAAAGGATTTCTCTGCAAGGCATAGATGGGGCCGTGATGCCCAGAAAAGGTGCATACAATCTTCTCAGCTATGGTCTTGGCTTTTCGGTTGCAGGAAATCACCACTCCTTGCTCGGTCCCCACCATGAACTTGGTTGGCTACGGTGGGGGAGACACAGAGGGGAAGACACATAATGGAGCTATGACTCTATACTCATCTCATACAAAATGTATGCACCACTTAGATCTCACCTCATGGCTTTAGATGGGCCTGTGCTCAGGTACACACACACACACACACACACACACACACACACACACACACACACTATTCCTCCCACCAGAATAGTGGGACCCTCTCCTCTTCCTATCCCATTCCTAATCATTCTTCCAGATCTAGCTCAAGTGCTCCACAAAGTCATTCCCAGCTCTGTAGGATCATAGTTTAAGAGCTGGAAGGGATGGTAGGTGCTATTGAGTCCAGTCCCCTTGACTTTGACATACCACTTTAAGGTTTGCAAAGTGTCAGACATATTCTCATTTGATTCTCACAAACAACTGCTTTGTCATGCTACTATTTTGTGTTGTGTAGCCCCATTTTACAAATGAGGAAACTGAGGCAAACAGATTAAAATGACTTGCCCAGAGTAACACAGCTAATAAATGTCTGGGGCAGGATTTGAACTCAGCTTTTCCTGACTCCAGGCCCAGGGCTCTGTGCGCTATGGTGCCACCTAGCTGCCTCCTTCATCCCCTCTAAAACTAGATTATATCATTCATTTTGAGACAATCATATGCTGTTTTGTGTGATTGTTGAATTATTTCATGTAGATGGGTCCTGTCTCCCAAAACACAGTGTTAGCTCTTTGAGATTAATTAAGGTCTATAACTTTTATTGCTTCTGCATCTCCCCACAACTAACTTAATGCTGAGTTAATACTGAGACTCATTTGCTGGATGAATGGGCCAGCCTTTGTTGGTAATAAAAATAATATATTGGTAATAATAATACAGTAATAGTAATAATAGCAGTAGCATTGGCAGCTGACATTTATATAGCTCTTAAAGGTTTGCAAATGGTTACATATACTAACTCCCTTGCTCCTTAGAACAATCCTGTTATTATTGTTAGTGCTGTTATTATTCTTCCCATTTTCCAAATGAGGATACTAAGGCTCAGGGATATGAAATGATTTGTCCACCATTAAGGTAAAGAGTTAAGGATGGGAAGGAGAGAGCAGATTGACCTTTGTACTTTGTAGCTGGCATTGGAGCTGCCGAGCTGTGCCAAGGGTGTGGCTAGGACATCCATTGCCAGAGGTTGAGCTGGCAGAGGGCTTTAAAGGCACATCCCACAGTTTGATCTTATTCATCAGACTTGGCTACTCATGTCTCCTGTACCACCAGGTCTCAAAGTCCTTTTTCTCTTTTGGAATTCTCTCCAATCTTGCCCTTGGGCACAGCAGTTATGTTAGATAGTTTGCTCAGAGGCCTCCCAGTGTTTGCTTCTCTCTTCTGAAGCTCTACTGCTAATTCCTGGGGCTGCTTCCTCCCTCAAGTGACTCTGACTCTCTCTGTCTCTCTCTGCCTGTCTTTCTTTTTCTCTGTGTCTCTCTTTCTCTCTGTCTCTTTGTCTCTATCTAGGTCTCTGTCTATCTGTCATTTTTCCTCTGTGTGTCTCTCTTTCTCTCTCTCTCTGTATTCATATCTGTTTGGAGTATGTATCTTTGCTTCCTCAACTATGCCTCAAACTCTCTTGAACTGGTTCTCCAAATGCTAGACAGAGTGTCGTCCTCTGCCACGGCCTGTGGGAGAGGATAAGTCAGAAATTCCTTCCTGTGTTTCTGTGAGTGTGTTTCCTCCAATGACAGCTCTACGACACCATTTCCTCCACCTCTTAAACATGTGAATTTTCTCCCAGACTTAGCTATTTAAAGCCCTGCACAGGCATAGCCAATTATTACTTGGATAATCCCAAACTATCCCTTTAATTCCATATGAATAACATGTCATGTTTTGTAGAGGGATAATAATACATTTACACCTTTAAAATTTTTTTTAAGGTTCTTCAACTGTGATTCTATCAGCTGAGCTGGAGGTTAGGATGGGGAACTGAATCTTCCTTGCCCCACCTCCCCCAACAACTTTCATCCAAACATTTTCTATTCCAAGGAAATCAACTGAAGTGCTTTTTTTTTTCTTTAAACATACCAGGCACTTTGCTAAGTGCTTTACAAATATTCTTTCATTTGATCCTCACAATAACCTTGTGAGTTAGGTGCTATTAGTATTACTTTTTTACAGTTAAGGAAACTGAGGCAAACAGAGGTTTAAATGACATGCCATGGTTCACACAGTTAGAAACTGTCTGAGGCTATATTTGAACTCAGGTCTTTGAGTTGCTTTTTGGCAATGTCTCAGCCGAACAGTTTAAAAAGAATCCATGAATCAACTTTCTTATACAAGGCTACAGGGCCACCACAGCTGGTTGGCCTAGGAATTACACTGTACAAGTGAATTTGTAAATGAATATACTACCTCAACTTGCTTTGCTCCCCAATTATCCAGGAAACCAAGAAGAGATGAATGAGGATTGGCTGTATTAACTAAGATATAAATTAGCTTGACATACCAACAATCCTTTGCTTCACAAAAATCCTTTGTGACCGAGAGAGAGAGACATGCAGAAAATCAACAACTCTGAAGCCAATTCAGCTCATACCAGCCTTGAAACAGATTCTGATTCATTTGATGGTTTATGGACCTTAGCTGTTAGTTATGAGGTTCTTGGACACATCCTGTTTTGTTGTTTTTGGAGACATCCTCTTATCTTATTGCTTGTGCTCTAGCCTTGAATTGTCAGGACTGCTTATCACCAAGAATGCATTTCTGATTTGTATATCAAAGGGCTACAGCTCTGACATCTGGAATTCCTTGAGCTCCTTCTTTCCTGAATCTTTCCCTCCCCTAGGGAGTGGGGGTCTTTGCCTCATTCCTTTCTAGGACTTGCCCAGTTCTTGCCTTTCTCCCCAATTCTCTGCCTTCCTTTATTTGAAAAGTATACATACTCTACCCATCCATTACTTAGTTGAGTTGTTCACCATTAGGCCAAATGCTCCTATGTCCATGTCTTATTTCCCTGCTTAATAAAACTCTTCTTTATTTTCATAGGCATCGTCTTCCTCTGGTTCTCTTCCCTTTAGGGAAAAGAGGGATTCAGATCTTGAGAACTAGCCTTTGTGTTCTACAGGTATCTTCCCCTTTTGGGGGACAGGTCTAAATTCCCAAAAGAGAGGTCTAAATTCCCTACCTTACTTCCAAATTCACAGTTATACAATTTTACCACATAGACATCATTTTACAAAACTATCATGGGTTACTGCTTGTCTTTGTTTTCACAAAGACCTTCTCCCATTCAAAGGCAATAAAGAAAAGAAAAGAAAAAAGACATTTAGCTTCCTCATTCAAAGAGAAAACTTGATCCCCACAGAGCTCTCAGAAAACATGGAGTTCCTCTCTTAGAAATTAGAAACCTTAGGTCAATTGGAAGTCATTCCCTCCTCTTTTGATGAAAAATTTTTGTGTGAAAATTCCTTTGGGTCTCAGCCACCCATACCTGAATGCCTCTAGGGACCCCTGAAACATGTAGGGAATTCTAAAGAAAAGTCTAGATTCAACCTCTCGGTGCCCCAAGCAACCAAAATTATAATTCGTGGAAAAGGCACTGATTTACATTGGTTACAGGAAGTTCCTACCCTGGGAACACCTTAAACCAATTAAATCTGATCAAAGCAACAACAACAAAACAACTTTGTATTTGCTGATTTGTATACATATTCACCTGATCAATATCTAGCCACTGGACCTAGATGGCTCTGGAGGAGAAAGCTAGGCTAGTGACATTGCACAGCCTTCTCTCATTCAAATCAAAGTCAATTGCAAGTCATGTCATCATCTCTCTGATGTCATGGTTGTCTTCAAGAACGAAGGACAAACCACCCACAACACAGCATGTTTTATCTCATCCACCTGAGTAAGATATAAGAGTTCTTTGAGGGCAGAAGTTATTTTCATTTTTCCTTTGTATTTCTAGCACCCAGCATAGCGCCTGCTGATATGGTCCCATCCTTCTTCATCCATCCCTCTCTCCCAGTTTCCCCACTATTAATGAAGACTAAAGAAGAGAAGGCAAGAACTCACCATGGTTGGCTCAAACTCAAGAGAGATGGCTCCCAGGGCATTTTCTAACACCCCCTTTCTGGAGACATCCATGATCAGGACCTCTGTGGGCTCATTCATCTTACGGATATCCCACCACATGACCTGAGAAGAAAGAGGAAGCAAGGGATGGTTCAGGAATTGAGAAGACATTGTCACCATGGCTCTTAGCTTTTTTTTTGGTTAGGCAATGAGGTTAAGTGACTTGCCCAGGGTCACACAGCTAGTAAGTGTTATGTGTCTGAGGCCGGATTTGAACTCAGATCCTCCTGAATCCAGGGCCGGTACTCTATCCACTGCGCCACCTAGCTGCCCCAGCTCTTAGCTTTTCATCAATGAACAGAAACTGTTTATAGCTCTCTGCTAAGTCTAATTGGGGGCTATGAAGTATAGGAAACACATCCTCCTCTTAAGGACCTTATTATCTGTGTGGGAAGCCAAGTCACAAAACTGACTAGAGTATATGGGCACCATATTTTAGTTAGGACCTTGATACTATAGAGAGAATCCATAGGAGTGCAGTCAAGATTGAATTCAGTATAGAGTAGCAAGTGGATTTAAGAGTCAGGAAGTCCTGGGTTCAAATCCTGCCTCAGACACTTGCTAGCTTGGACAAGTCATTTAACCTCTCTGTGCCTCAGTTTCCTCATCCATAAAATGAAGGGGGTTGGACTCAATGGCCTCTAAAATCCCTTCCAACTCTAAATCAATTATCGTATGATTCTCAGATCAGTTGAAGGAATTGAAGAAGAGATGATTTAAGAGGGACATGATAGCTGTCTTCAAGTACTTGAAGGACTGCCCCATGGAAGATTAGACTTGTTCTTCTTGGGCCCAGAGGGCAAAACAAAGAGGAACTGGTAGAAGTTTTTAAAAAATCAAATTTAAACTTGATGTAAGGGGAAACTTCCTAATAATTCAAGTTATTCAAAAAGGAAATGAGTAGCCTCGGAAGGGTGGTGGGCTCTCCTTCCTTGGAAGTCTTCAAGCAAATACTTGATGACCACTTGTTGGGCATAATGTAGGAGAAGATTTTTTTTCAAGTATAGGTATGATTCTATGGCTTCTGAGGTTCCTTCCAGCTATGAAGGTCTGTGACTCATATGTAATAATGATCTATATTGGGGATTCACAGAAATGGAATGGGCCCCATTAGACCATGAGCTCTGTGACAGTAGAGACTGTCTTTTGCTTTTCTTTAAATTCCTAGTGGTTAGCACAATGCCTGGCACATAGTAGGCACTTAATGTTTAACTTATTAGACGTTTATTTAGTCTACTGACTGACTTTTAGGGAAGTAGAGTTTGAGTTCCAATAAAGAATAGGAAAAACCTAGGGGTGCAGGGGGGCAGCAGTGCATTCCAGTTGAGGGTTTAGGTTTTTAGGGGAAGGTAGGGGAAGAAACAGAGAAGGGACAGACTTAGTAAAGGTATAGAGTTAAGAAAGCATATGTCATGTTTGGGGACAGCAAACAGTTCTGGTGAGAGTGGAGGTTTCTGTAATACAATGGAAAAAGATCAAGAATCTAAAGAAATGGAAAAATATGTGAAATAATGTGATGAAGAAAGCAGACACCAAAAAAAAAGGAATTATTTAAATGGGTGATATACAAAGAGTGAAGGATTATAGAATCTTAGAAATCATCTAGTTGTATCCACTCATTTTACAAATGGGGAAACCAAGGACCAGAAAAAGGTAGTGATTTTCCCAAAGTCACATAGTAAATAGCAAAACTCAGATAGCCAACCTCACCTTAGAACTCCAAATTCAGTAATCCATCAACTATACCATATATAAGAGGTTAATGGACAAAAAGGGTGGAAAGGACTAATAAGCTGTTACAGGTTTTTAAAAGTTAGTTGTAATGCAGGGGTACATTGAAGCCAGTTTGTATCAGTTCTGGAGAGAGCCAGTTGTTAAATTTTCAGTGTGAGCATTTATACCTCAGAAACTGTTTTGTTGATTGCCTAGACTTTAGAACATAATACTGTAGAGAAAATGTTAATAATGCAGGAGAAACTTGAAAGAGTGTTCTCTCTACATCTTTTTTTTTTTTGGAGTCCAGTTGTGAAGTATTTACCAGCACACCACCAGTTGTGAGTGTAAGTTTAATTGGTTTTGTCATTGTTTGAAATTCAGAGTAAGTTCCTTGACAGAAGTGGAGGGAGTGCTAAAGAATAGAAGGAAAACAAAGAGAGAGAGAGAAAGAGAGAGAGAGAGAGAGAGAGAGAGAGAGAGAGAGAGAGAGAGAGAGAGAGAGAGACAGAGAGAGACAGAGAGACAGAGACAGAGAGAGAGACAGAGAGAGACAGAGACAGGGAGAGACAGAGAGAGACAGAGAGAGAAAGAAAGAAAGAAGAAAGAAAGAAAGAAAGAAAGAAAGAAAGAAAGAAAGAAAGAAAGAAAGAAAGAAAGAAAGAAAGAAAGAAACAGAAAGAAAGGAAGGAAGGAAGGAAGGTTCACACTGAGAGGTTACAGAGATAAAGTAGGAAAGGAAGGCTGAATCATACTAGGCTAAGGAGTTTGCATTGTGTTTAATTGTTAAGCAAAGAAGAGTTAATAAAGATTAACAAAGGATTTCTGGGGGAAAAATGTCTCTGAATAGTCTCTGAAAAACTACCTTCTTTTTTTTTTTAATCTTTAGGCAACTGGGGTTAAGTGACTTGCCCACGGTCACACAGCTAGTAAGTGTCAAGTGTTTGGTCTGAGGCCGCATTTGAATTCAGGTCCTCCTGACTTCAGGGCCGGTGCTCCATCCACTGCACCACCTAGCTACCCCAAAACTACCTTCTTTATGGGTGATTTCAACTGGCATTTCAATGTCTTGGTTACCAGGTTGGCCAAGGAGAGAGAGAGAACAGCTGGCCGACCTCTGCCTAAAAAATAGCTCCTTCCCCTTCATCCCATTCCTAGTGTTGAAAGTTAGGTTGACTCAGTATTCCATTGTTCCCAGCCCTGCTTCTCAATTAGTGTTGGGGGAGGCTCTGGTGGGGAAGAAGACACTAAATCTGCAGTTTTTTGTGCTATCTGCTCTTTGTCACCTGAAAATTTCTTGGGGAGGAACTGAGATGCAAGGGCTCCATCTCTTTTGCTAAGGTGAAGCTACCTGGATTGTTTTTTTAAAAAAATAATAACAATAAATAAATTTTTAAAAAAGATAAAAACCATCATGCCTTGAAGCTAAGACTGATCTTCAGTGATCTGCCCATCGATGTGTTGCTATCTTGATGTACTTACAATAAACTCTTTTTAATTCTCGCCGTGCTGAGTTTTGCCTTGTTAATCAGGGTGAAAACCCCTTTCAACACTAGGAATTACAGGATTTAAGAGCTGGCAAGGAACTTTAGGGATGAATAAGTCCAATGCCCTTATTTTACAGGTAATTCAATTCAATTCAATAGACATTTATTGCCTACCACATGCTCAGCACTATGCCAAGCACTGAGGATACAAAAAGAGGCAGAAGACAGTCTCTATGCCCAAGGAACCTACAGTCTAATGGTAAAAACACTGAGATACCAACAGATATTCTGACTTGCCCAAGGTCACATAGGCAGGTAAGTGGCAGAGCCAAAATCTGAAACCAAGTCTTCTAACTGCAAATCACTTTCCACTAAACCACAAGCAAAACCTACATCAGAACGATGTTCTATAAGGTTTCCCGGAGCTCATGATTTTATAAGCTTCCCTGCTTCTGTTTTGTCCCGTCTTTCACATCAAGGGGGAAGTTCTGCCTTCCATGTGACCTGCTACACTCTCTGCCTGCACCCCGCCCCCTTTTGTTTCCCTTACCTGTCCATCCGTGGAGGCGGAGAAACATTCTGTGCCTGTCTTCGACTGCAGCCAGAGGGCACCAAAAACAGGATCCCTGTGGCTGAACTCAATGGTGGACAGCTCCGCCACCAGACTGCCCTTCCTAGTATCCCAGCAGGCTGGAGGCAGGGTGGGGAGGAAAGAGGAGAGAAGAGAAGACAGAAAAAGGTTTAACAAGGAGATGGATCTGGAGAGTAGAATTAGAGGGGACACAGGTGAGAAACTTACAAGCGTTTCACTTAACAGTCTCTGAGAAAGGTTGGGTGTGTGTGTAGAGAGGGTGGGGGTGGATTTTACTTTTTTTCTGCATTAATTTTCATAGATTACGAAGAGGTCCCACTGCCACAGTGGATAGAGAACTGGCCTTCAAATCAGGAAGATGCAAGATGCCCCCTGAAGCTGTGTGAGCCTGAGACAAATCATTTAACCACTCCAAGCCCCAAGCAACTCTCAAGGACTCTAAGTGACAAATTACAGATGAGTTGTTATCTGCATGGAGCTTCCACATTGGAAGTTCCCCTACTCCATTGAAATTACAGCTTTGAAAAAAAAAAAAGGGAAAAGGACCTACTTGTACAAAAATATTTATAGCAGCTTTTTCTGTGGTGGCAAAGAATTGGAAATTGAGGCAATGCTCATCAATTGGGGAATGGCTGAACAAATTGTGGTATATGAATATATACTATTGTGCTATAAGAAGTGATGAGGAGGATGCTCTCAGAAAAACCTAGAAAAACTTACATGAACTGATACAAAATAAAGTGAGCAGAACCAGAAGGACACTGTACACAGTCACAACAATATTGTATGATGATTAATTGTAAATGACTTAGCTATTCTCAGCAAAACAACAATCCAAGACAATTCCAAGACTCATGATGAAAAATGCTGTCCACATCCAGAGAAATAATTGACAGAGTCTGAATGCAGATTGAAGCACACTATTTTCATTTTTTTTTGGTCTGTTTCTTCTTTTACAACATAACTAATATGGAAATATATTTTACATGATTCCACATATATAACCTATATCAAATTGCTTACTGTTTTGGGATAGGTGGAGGTAAGGGAGTGATGGAGAACATTTGGAACTCAAACTTTTTAAAAAAAATGTTGACTACTATTGAAGTGCTTTGCATGACTACACATATATAACCTGTATCGAGTTTCTTACCTTTTCAACAAGGGTGGGTGGGAAGGGAGGAAGGGAGAAAATTTGGAACCCAAAGTTTTAAAAACAAATGTTAAAAATTGTTTTCACATGCAACTGGGAAATAAGATATACAGGCAATGGGATATAGAAATATATCCTGCCCTACAGGAAAATAGAAGGGGAAAGGGATAAGAGAAGGGAGAGGGGCATATAGAAGGGAGGGCACATTAGGGAAAGAGTATTCAGAATGCATGCCATCTTGGGGTGGGGGAAGGGATGAGATGGGGAGAAAATTTGGACCTCAAAATCTTGTGGAAGTGAATGTTGAAAATTAAAATAAATAAATTTTAAAAGTGCTTTATTTAAAAATGTTCACCTTTGTCTTTACATGTAATTGGAAAAAATTAAATAATATTAAAAAATTGAAAAAAAGAGAAATTATAGGTCTGAAACCCCCTCACTATCACCACCAAAATGTGTGTGGACACACACACACACAGATCATTCATGAAAAGAGATCTCTGGTCTAAAGCATGAATCTCATCCTACATATCCATTAAGTGGTCATTTAGCCCTTACTTGATTGATAAGCTCCTGTGTCAAGGAATATATTACTTTTTACAACAGTATATTCAATTTGTGGGCAGCTTTAAGCCACAGAATCATAGCTTTAGAGCTGGAAGGGACCTTAAAAGCCACCAAGTTCAATTCAGCTCATTTTGAAGATGAGTAAACTGAGGCTTAGTAATAAATGATGGTGTCAGGATTTGGACTCATGGGCAGGTGGGTGGCACCATAGTTCACGGAGTGCAGGGCCTGGAAGTCAGGAAGCCTCATCTTCCTGAGTTCAAATCTGGCCTCAGACACTTCCTGAATTCTTCCAGTCCTATATAACTATGGCTTTTCCTTAGGGAAGATGAGCCTTGCCCAGCCCAAAGTTTCAGCTCCAGCAAGTCCTGCTTTGATATAGGTTATGTATGTGCAATAATGTAAACCATATTTCCAAGTGACTGGGAAAGTCACTTAACCCTGTTTGCCTCAGTTTCCTCATCTATAAAATGAGCTGGAGAAGAAAATGACAAACCACTCTAGTATCTTTGCCAAGAAAACCTCAAATGGGGTCATAAAGAGTTGGACACAACTGGACACAATTGAAATGACTGAACAACAATTTCTGGCTCCAGATCCAGAGTTCTTTACACCTGACCATTCTGCCTCTCAAAAGTTCTTGAACACTTGGTACTTACTAGCTGTGTGACCCTGGGCAAGTCACTTAACCCCAACTGCCTAGCCCAAAAAAAAAGGTCTTGAAGTTAGAGTATGCGAATTTTGCCTTGCTATGATGTATAACCCTTGGTCCTGGTTCTGAAAGAAATGATTATTTTCTATTATATTAACATATTAAAGCAGGATTGAGGTGTTTTTGCTTTATTTTCTCATTCAGGGACCAACCTCCACAAGTCAGTCAATCAGTCTCTGAAGAACATTGCTGATAGATGAGATTGCCCTCCTTTGGATATAAACTCTGCAATCTTGGGCAGGACCCCACCCAACTAGAAAATCTTACAAACAGAATCTAATCTAGGTGAATTCTTGCCCTTAGGAAATAAGCCCCTATATTTGGAACCCTCCATGGGAATTTAGGGTAACCCAGCTCATGAAGTAGAAAACCAACCAGAGTGGTCTGGGTAGAGATGGATTCCTTTGTCCAGATTGTTGGTGGCAGCTGAGTATCATGATCAAGTCAGTTCTCAGCAGGAAGAGCTAAAGACTTTTAACCCACCTCCTCATTAATATGTCCACCCCCTCATTAATTGCTCACCAATCAAAGTTGATTTTCACTTGTCAGGAGCACCTCCTTTTCCAAAGGTATTTAAGCATTCAGTGATCTCCATAGTTTTGTCTTTGGTTACATCAATTTATTGATTATTTGCTAGCCTAATTAATAAATTGATTACTAATTACCCAGAAACTCTGTCTCTCAGACTTTTCATTTTTCTTATACCTCAAAGAGAACAAATTTAGTTCTCTTTTTCATATGTAACAAGGTTATGGAACAGGCTCATATTTTTCTTCTGGGTAAGTTGTGCAGAGTATGTACAATTATTTTTTGTCTGCTTCCAATATGTCATGTGAAGTTTTTCTTTTCTTTTCTTTTCTTTTTTCTTTTCTTTTCTTTTCTTTTCTTTTCTTTTCTTTTCTTTTGGCCCAGGAGAGGGGATGGAGGTGAGCACCTACTTCCAGACATGTGGAGGGTCTTGCACTGTGTGATGATGAAGAATCCCCTCACTGGCAAACTGGAGGAGCTAATGACTCAGGGGACCTTTTAAAAAGAGAATATGGCAGGGCAGCTAGGTTGCGCAATGGATACAGCACCAGCCCTGGAATCAGAAGGACCTGAGCTCAAATCCAACCTCAGATATATAACACTCACTAGCTGTGTGACTGGTCACTTAATCCCAATTGCCTCACCACAAAGAGAGAGAGAGAGAGAGAGAGAGAGAGAGAGAGAGAGAGAGAGAGAGAGAATATGGCTCCAGGCTGGAGTGTCTCAATTTTCCAGATGTGAAAAAGGGCAGGATGCTTCTCTATCCCAGTAGAATGGTAATTTTTCCCTTGTGGCAGCTAGGGCTACAGGGCAACTTTATCTAGGCTCCTGGCTACCTTTCCTCTCTGTATTTCTTCTTTCCTGATCTTAAGAGAACAACTTTTCTGAGATGGGAAGTGTCCAGGGGTCTTACGAGTTTCCAAAGGTTTGTGGCTGCAGCATAGTCCATCAGAACAGCAACAGCAGAAGTACCTACCGACATGGCAGCTGGGCCATCCATTGGAACGGTGATGACTGACAAGAGGGGAAGTTTCTGCATCATAGAGTTGGTCCACTGCCAAGACAGGGGCCAAGCAAAGAAGTGCCAGGAGCAATTCAATGGTGAAAATGCCCAGTGAAATGTGAAATGCCTAATTGGAAGTATTGCACAACTGCTTTATGTTCTGATAAGGCTCAAACCATTAGCTTCCCAACGGATTGTAACCATAGTTCTAAGTTCAGTTACTGAATGCTTTTCTAATCATTCTGTTAATGCCCTCTGTGATTCTTTTATGCTTAACATTTCTCTCTGTGCAGAAGTAAACTACTCTTCTCATTCCCTATCAATACTGTACATTGAATGCCTCTTTTCCTATTCCCCCTACTCTCGAGACAAAAAGTAACATTGTCCTTAGGATGCCAAGGTTGGGGTTTAATGAGCCAAGAGTGAAAATAAAGGAAGCCTAATTCCCCTAACTGGAGGTCAGACTACCCCTAGTAATGGACTGGTCCACACCTAAATGCCTGAGCTTAGGAGTGAGAGGAGTGCAGATTCCCACACCACCCCCACCCTCCACTCTGAGCTTCAGTATGTCTATGCTAATTGTAAGAACCCTTCAATATTAAGTGACAGCTATTCTATATCTCTGCAAAATCTCTTCTCCTAGCTAAACATTCTAGTTCCCTCAACATCTTGGTCACAGTCCTTTGGACATGGTCCACCTTGTCCATGCTCTTCTTTCAATATAGGATCCAGAACTGGTCACCACATTTCAGATGATATTAGACTAGGGCAGGGTACAAGTTGACTGTCATCTCCATCATCCTGGACACTATGCTTTCATTTATGCCGCCTCTAGGAAAATTAGCATTTTTCTCTTCTGTTGCATCACTCAAATTGAGACGGCAGTTTACTGAGTCACCCAGATCCTTTTCACATGAATTAATGTTGAGACACATCTGCTGTATTTGTGGAGTTGACTTTTCTTTTTTTAAACCAAGCATCCTAGTTTTGTTCAGGTTGTTGAGATATTTTGGGATTTTAATTCTAGCACACTAGCTATCTCTCCAAGCTTTCTACAATCTTCAAGTATGCCAGCTACCCAGATACTTACTAGCTGTGACCCTGACCAAGTCACGTAACTGTGTTTGCCTCAGTT